CAAACACGGTTGTCCGAATTGCGAGCAAGTTGGTAGCCGCGTAAATTGTGTCATTGTTTATTCGAAGGAAGAGAGCTGCGCACGAACCTGAACATCACCGTGTCCAGTCCGTTTACGGAGTTGAGCGCATCAATGGATTGGATATGATTCTACAACTAGGAGTAGATCCTATGCACGCTTGTTACCTTGGTGTAACAAAAAAGGTACTTGAAAGCATGTTCGGGAAGTTGAAAAAAGCCGGATACAAAGGGAGGAGATTGCGTAAAACTGATCGAATTAAAACAGGTTTGTTCTGCTGGCTTTGATAAAGATGAAATATTTGTCTAATTTTTCACTTTTTTCTTTAAAGGTTCATTTTACTTTGAATTAGGGAAGCTCAATCCAAAGGAATTTGCAAGGCGTCCAAAACCATTCGAAGAATTGTCTAACTTTAAAGCAACCGAATTTCGTTTGTTTGATTCTTACATTGGTTTGCTTGTCACCGGGAAGTTCTTTGAAAAAGAACATCACGAGCATTTTATGTTGTACTATTGTGCTCTTCGTCTGCTTTCTATGAGAAATCCATTAAACAATGACATAGAGTTAGCAAGACAATTTCTTAGAAATTTTGTTCATATGTTTCATAGATTCTATGGTGCAACTGGTCTTACGCACAACGTGCATATGTTATTGCATTTAGCAGACTATGTTGAATTGTATGGAAATCTGCCCTCAATCAGCGCTTTCAGGTATGAAAACTTTATGCTAGAGATAAAAAGAACTTTAACTAAAAAGCATCAACTTGTGCAGCAACTTTACAATCGAACAGTTGAACAAACAAAAATCGCTGAAAAGCCTGGTTATCAAAACCAATTTGCAGAAATATTTCAAATGAAAAAGCGTCTATATGGCTGTTTATTTGCATACCGCACCTGCTATTTTAATAATAGAAAAGTAATTAGCGTAAACGGCAAAGATGATTGTGTTATGATAGATGGAATCCCTGCTAAAGTTCTTGGTTTTGCAGATTATGAAGGCCAAAGAGGCGCAATTACCAATTGATTTTACCAAGATTGGTGTATGGTACGCTGAAAATTTAACCGAAGAAATTGAATTGCAATTTTCCTTCGCGTGAAAAGTTTTGAGAGTAAACTTTTTAAGGTCATATTGTTATTCAATTGTTCCGAAAATTTACTTATTTTTTCACTGAAAAACGTTATTCCTAAGAGGCATGGCTTAAAATTTATGAATTTTCAAAGTATGTCATGTTCGGGAAAATCTGAAAGCTCAACTAAAATTTTCCAGAAAAATTGACCACCTACAATTTTTTAAATATTTTTATCGTTCTTAGATCCATAAAATCTACATGTGGGCAAAATTTCATTAAATTCTTAGACCCTTCGGCCTATTTTGTCCGATAATAAAAAATCTCCATATATTAACCACAGACAAACAGACATAACACTCACAAATTGCGCATAGTCAATTCCCTTGTGTTTGACGTTTACACACTACCGCCATCTGTTCAGCGTACTGCCCACCAGAGTGTACTCAACAGATGGCGGTTATGTTTAGCGACGATGTTTTACAGTGAGAAATATTCAGTTGGTTATGTCTGTTGGCCTTTGATTAAATATGAACGTTGTGATAACTTTTAAACAGCCAGACATGTACCAGGAACGTGCTAAAAATGTGCTGAATAAAAAAATAAAAATTAATTAAATTTTTGAACAGAACAGGATTAGTCACCGCGACATTTTCAGTAAAATGGGTACTTTTTACTCATGCACAAAAAAAAATAACATGCAGGGTAAAAAGTACCCATGTTTTGAAGTATTCGTCGAATACATATTAATGAGTAAATCCCCTTTTACTCATTTAATGTGTTAGGCCACTCGCTAAAATGCGTGCGCACTTTTCTTTAAAATGGTAAAGTTTTACTCTTTAATTGGGACTTTCAAGTCACCGTGTGAAATGAAGAAAACAACTCTCACAAGATCTGTCCCAAAAATCGTTCGCTCAATCGTTTTTGGCATGTCAAGCTGTGCTGACTTTCATTTTGCTTGGTGAAATTTTTTTATTGTTCAGTAACAATTAATGAGCGACTCGAATTCGTTGCGAAGATTTTTGGAGAGGGAATTTGATCGAATCAATGCTCGGTTTGACAGAGGTAATTATAGTTATTCACTTTATTGTGCTACGGCACACTAATTAGTATTTTTTTTATATGTTTTTCTTTAGTTGAACAACAACAACGTGATACGTTGGTTCATCAACGAGCGACACGGGAACTGCTATCAGAATGCAACAACCGGCTCCAGCTCATCCAAAAGCACATGACGCCACCAACAAAACGGACGTTTCCGGTAAAAACCATCGAGGATTTACAAACTGTTGTTGGCAAATTCGAGCACCCGGATCAGGCAGCCGATATCAGACAAGAAATAACATATCCTTTGAGCAGTGTCAACCAGGATTAATGGCTGCGGGCAATAATGTCTGACCAGGTTGTTTCCCATTAGCATACCGCAGATGAAATTCGCCATTTGAACTTCATCAAACATATACTGAGTAAGTTGTTTCGGTTTTATTGATTTCATATTTAGTAACCGTGTTTGTATTTTTCTTCCGTATAGATAACATCACATTTACCACGGACAAACAGTTCACAGCCTTGGTGAACCAAGGGAAAGGAAGAGCATACTCACAACGACGGAGAGAAGCAAAGAAATCTGTGGCCAAGGAAAATGCCCCACCCTTGGCTCCACCTTCCAGAACTGTAGAGCTCTTTGGGAAACCATCAGGTGCGAAGAAAACTAAAAAGGAGGAAACGCGTGTTGTGGTGCATATGGTTGAAAATGTAGATGCTTCTCCATCGGATTCAGCGGTTTAGGGTTCGGAGGAATCTGATGATGACATCGAGGAAGACGTTGAATCCCCTGCCTATACTCCGCTGAAATAATCGTAAACTGTTGTCGGTTTTTTCTCTCTATATAATAAATAAATAAACCTTTCAAAACCAAATGTGTATAATGTTTATTTGTTGAATTCAATTTCCTCTTCTGTACCATCTAGTATACGCTCACTTGATATTAATAATGTTGTCTGCCAATGCATTATTCAATTATATCTGTCGATTTAGTATGTTTTATCAGAAGGAACAATTTAATAACCCGATTAATTAGTGTACTTCATCTGGTTTCATCAATTTCATAAACCGATTTAACAGTTGACTTAATCTTTCCCATCGTACAAACAACTGAATGAACCGATTAACCACTCTATTTCGTTTGGTTTCATCAATTGCGTATGCTGATTTATTTGTCGACTTAATCTGTTTTCATCATAGAAACAATAATTTAATAAACTGATCAACCAGTATATTTCGTCTGGTTTCATAGAAGCCCGGCTACAACTCTGTCATCCTACTAATCGTTCGATTTGGTCGCTTCTAGTTGACTGATTTCCTATGTTTTCGACTACCGATTTCGTGTGCTGACGCGTCGGCAACCTCCCTTTGAGAGTCGATGCAACAATTTATAAATACGTCGGTTTCATAGTCGGTCAATCTTACCGACGTGAACCGATTTAGTCGAGGGGAAAATCGGGAGGATTTTTTATGGGGATCCATTCAGCCAAACGTCTTGGTTTAATTTAAAAATGACATATTGCTGTACAGGGTGTGCCATATTGTATGTTGGTATGTAAATATTGAACAACTTTGACATTTGTCAACCGATTGACTTCAGTAGACAAATTTTGGAAACTTCAATTCAGTACAATTTTAATCATGAATCACTTCACACCAAAACAACGCGCTGAAATCGTAACGATGCACATTGAAAATATTTGTAGAGTTGTGTTAATTCAACGTGCATATCGTCGAAAATATCGTGACAAGCAGGCGCCGACTGACAAAACTGCTCGTCGTTTGGTGTCAAATTTGGTTGAGCATGAGATAGTGGGAGATCGTCCACATGTCGTTGGTTGAAGTGGTATGAGAAAGTGTTGCCTAGGACCCAAATGTGTCGTATCGCCACCGCGCTCTGCATTTTGACGTCAGTGGATCAAACAATAAATAAAAAAAGGACTGGACGCTTAACGGTGTGCCATGCCACACTGCAAATCAAACAATTCAGTTTTTGCAACTAAAATTCCCTGGACATCTGGTATAAAAAAGGCAACCTCTCCAGGTTTGACGCTTCCAGACTTATTTTTGTGGGGTTTTTTTTTAAAGCAAAGTTTACGCCAGCAAGGCTCAGACCATTGACGAACTCAAGGCACACATTTGTGCCGAAATCATCGCTATATCGCCTAAGATAAAAGTGATGAAAAACGCAGAAAAAATGGCACACTTTACTGTGGCGGCTACTTGATTGATGTTGTATTCAAAAATTAGTCTCGTATTTGAAAATCGGTTGTTTTTTTCCAAGTTATTCATGGTTTACATACCGACATAAAATATGGCGCACCCTGTATAGTTCGAAACACATATTTACGCTATAAATCTATTTTATTTAAAAATAATATGCGAATACAAAATGTTATCAAAAAATCAGAAAATTGATATAAAAGAAACACAGATATAATCCATTACTAATAGTGATGGAATTATATCTGTGTTTTTGACATGGACTTAATTTTGACACACCCATTCCAACACTCAGGTCATCTACCTTACCATTTTCACTATCATTATTATTTACACAAACACGTATCGAAACTAACAGTAGTCATGTCATAAATCTGATATGAGCTAAGGTGAATATATATGCTAATTGAATTACATATCTGGTTGAACCTGATGCCGATCAACAAACGGTGAAGTAAGAAACTGTGTTTGACCGCAGATACAAAGTATTTTCAGTGTCAATACACACCAAAGCGAGTCAGTTGCGGATCTCTCGACCTGGGAAACCGAAGGCAGCTTGCAAACGTTTTGTTCGTCAATTATCACTTTGGTATATTACTCCATACAAGGTGCGCTGGACATCATCCCCCACTATAAGGCGACTGATTCCGCCGAACTATTTAAATAAAACGAATGATCTGCAAACCATTAATTGTGATCTTGAAAGCGAAAGGTACAACAAATCCATCCTCCTGAGGGAACTGCTGATTTGCTAGAGCAACGTGTTGAAATGGTAAATATTCGTCATATTCGTCAATCAAAAGCTTGATTTTAAAGGACATTATTTTTTTCAGAAAAGTGCATTGCTGGTTTTGGCCGTGATCCTCGGCTGTAATGGTCAAGGATATCAAGGATATTACTACCCCAAGCCAAGCATTCCACTTGAACCAGCGCCTGTTTGTTCAACATCGTATGTAACGCAGACCCTCCGAGAAGCCGTCCAAGTTCCTGTATATTACACATCAACCGTGGTGGATCGGCAATACTTCACAGTGTTTTCCACCGTCGTTCAACCAGTGACCCAAATTGAAACCCAAACAAGAACAGTGGTTATAACGCCAAGTCCCGTGATCCTATATTCCACTATCGTGTCCACCGTAACGGCTTTCAGCGGCATTCAGGATGATAGCAGCAGCAATCAACAATCCTTGAACAACGGTTATCTTCCTCCACCGGTAGTAAGTGACGATGCTCGGGGTCGTCCAAATAATGAGTACCTGCCTCCATGTGGAGAAGAGTCTCGAAGCAACACAGGGGTTAACATTTTGAGCCTTGCTGGTGTTGATAGTGATGCTGTTAGCCAAAATAGTGTACGGTTCAACCCACTGGAACAGCAGCAAATTTCGCTCAATCTCGGAGCGTTGCCTCCGTACTGATTGATGCGTGGTTTGCATGCAAGCGTCTAAGAACGAGATGTAGATGTAGGAAACGAGTGTGTGATGATGTGCGAATAGATTTAGGCGTTACATATTAAGAGGATTTGCTTTCGATCCTGTTAGGTGTGTTAAATAAAAAAAAAATACTTCTGAGAGAGAGACGCTTCTGTGTTCGTGTTTGAAGTGAGGCTGACATTGATTTTTTCGTTGACTACTGCTATATAGGCCTATAATTTTGTAATGCAGTGTACTTAGAAAATTCCACTCGTTCAAGGGCATTTGGTGGGATACTTGTGGAAATCATTATTCATGATGCAGTTCACCAATTTTTATAGAATCCGTTTTGTATTGTTAGGGTTCCAAACTCCGAATAGTTGCTGTGTGCTTTTATAATGTTTCGCGCCTATATGATTGTTAACGACCAACCGGACGCTACCTTAGCTTAATCGTAGCAAAATTTTGAAATTGAGCAACTCGGCCCTCTTCTATTTAGTATTTGTATTTTTATTATTATTAGTATATAGTATTGTATTAGTATTTTAGTATTTGTACGGTAGATTAATTTTTTTCCACTGTTCCAATCTCATTCTCGCACAAGTCACCACGCACCGCACAGAGGGGTATTTATTCTACGCTAGCTGACCAATAGTCGATTTTCCCAAATACAGTCAGGAATCCTTATTGCCGGGGTAACGGGGCGTGAATAAGGAACCTTTAATAAGGATACCCACAGCTTATGGGATTTTCACTAATGGGGGCTATGGTGGATTATCTCATTTATTTCAATATATAAAGCTATACAGGCTTAGACAAAGTTGTTGTACTGGGATAGACCAACAAGCCTGTGTCATTGGATTCAGGTTTAATCGGGAACTACGCCGCTAGAGGCGCTTCTCTCTTATATTACTTATGACTGGCGTTATAATATATGGAACGTTGGACCCAAGTTAGAATATTTCGTGATCCTGGCCATACAGAAAGTTGCTGTCCTGAGCAAAGTTGTCCAGGTGACTAAGTCCTTTCGGTTGGTGGACATATGAGTTCAGAACTCTCTCACTACGCAGTGCTAGTGTGCACGTGCAATTCTAGTCTAGTCTAGTCTAGTCTACACATACACAGCCAGTACTTGAAAGAATCCTGGAAAATGATACATCTATCATTTTTCTTGTCATTATTAATGCCTGCTGCACATCAAGGATGTGAAACAAACAATAAAGCGGCCAGGCCTACTGTGTAGCGTTTAGTTAATTTTTGTGGAAGTGAATGTTTACCATGTCTACTTAATAAGTATAGACAGTGGTTAACATTTAATCCACAGGTAATCAAAGAGCGGGGACATACCGTACCAACCGCTCCGTATGCAGGATTTGAAAATAGGCTATATAAATCGTTGGGAGTGACAGAGCTAAGAAAGTTAATGTACACTCCTTGGTTGTCCGATCTCCTGGGATGGAACACAGGTATTTACCCCTTGTGTTCGAGCGTACAGTCCTCCCTCCGTACAAGCGTGGACGGCACCGCCCACCCACTGCCATCCCTCAATCGATCCAGCCGACCTGAGTCGAAGGACAACAGAGAGCGGTGTGCGGACGTAACCTATACGGAGGGAATGCTGTATTCGCCTAGGTTATAGCGCCCTTGCTCGCTATTCGTTATTCGCTGTCTACAATGAGAAGAAACAATGCATGAAATTTATAGTGAGTAATTTTAATGAATATATATATATATATATATATATATATATATATATATATTGACTTAAATTGATATATATATATATATATATATATATTAGCCGTCTCGATTGAATGCGCATGTTTAAACAACGTTGATCCAGGTACCTATCATATAAATTTGCATATAATCTAGTTATGATTATTGTCAATAATACTTACATTTCGATAAAGATGATGCTGCCTACTTTACCTGTTATGTGATACTTATCACCACAGAGTCCAACCTTGAATTGCAGACCAGGTCCACTAACAAAACACTCGTTCCGAGAAGGGGTTTATGGTCTTCTTCTTCTTCTTCTTCAGGTTCGCTCACCACTCGGAATGAAGGCTCGGTGCGGTTAGTAATATCAAACAGTGTTACATGCAAACGAAAAAACGAAAAAGAGATGCAACCAGGATTAGTTTTTTAAAGTAATAGTTTCATCTGAATACCCAACTAATCATATCTCAGTGACATTGTACCACTCTGAACCCACACCTAAAGCTATTTTGTGATTATATGGTTACTTTGGTATTCACATGAAATGTCGTGCAAGTACCAGAGGTTCAACAACGCCCAACTATGGACAGCTCAATGTTAATACCATTTACTCTTTGAATCAGCTTACACCAACATGATAATCTACTAAGAAACATCTAAGAATGTATAGAGATAAAGTTCAAAAATACAGTTTTAACTGATGGTACTTTATAAACGTCAAACTGTTCAATATTGGACCCTGCCAACACACGGCGCCAGCACGGCAATGTGGGCCGTCAGAATGGTTCATCGGTTGCGAAGTGAAGTGTTTCTTAAACTGAAGCGATACATTTCTCAATGTTTCAACGTTATCCTAACGTAAACTTAATATTATCACCCATATGCCTGTCCACGCCCGAAACCCATCCACCACACAAAATCAAATAAAAATGTTTCTGTATGGCAAACACGTCCAGACATAAACGAGAATATGGGTGTATATCTTCACTGTAACAACTACGGGTAATCATCGAAAATACTTGCATTTTACTCAGGCACTTTTGAGCAAACTGCAATCACTCTCTCATACTCGTAATGTGCCACGACCAAATTGGCACAACGACGCCCTATACGCTCTCTGACCAAAGCGCAGGGGTGCTAGTGTGCACGTGCAATTCCTATATAAACTGTATCTCGAGAGCCTGGCCATATAGAAGGTTACTGTCTTCAGCAAAGTTGTTCAGGTGACTAAGTCCTTTCGGATGGTGCTCATGTTATTCCATAACTCTCACACTACGTGGCGCTAGTGTACACATGAACTTCCTTAATACACTGATAGGCAAAATAAAGTGCCCACCCCATCATTTTTGAAATTTCTCTCATTTATTTGGTTCAAATTCAAATAAACACACCGTAGTCTGTTTCGATGTCTTACCTTTATTATTCTTTTAAAGTTACACCTATGGAATACTGAAAATATAAAGTTTTACTTGAAGTAAAAGAAAATCAATTTGGATTGAAAAAGAAAACAGTGACAAAAAAAAGTGCCCACTTCAAAAATCGGTATGTTTTCGATAAGTTTCCATCGGAAAACCCCTCGATTGTTTTTGTTTTGAAAGTTTGACATGTATTGAAGCAAACGGGTGGAACTGGTGCATTTGTACACGTGATCGCATTTGAATCAGTTGAAAAAAATGGAGGACGTAGTGATTTCGAAAGCAATTCCCGTGTGTATCCGAAAATTGGTTGTTCGTGATGTGCAAAACGGTGAATCGCACCGGTCTGTCGCTAGGAAGTACAATATCAGCAAAACAGCGGTCGGGAAAATTCTGCAGAAAATGAAATCGTTCGGATCAGTGGTGGATCGCCCTGGCAGAGGCAGGATGCGCAAAACGGATGCGAGAACGGACACCAAGATCATGCGTGAAGTGAAGAAGAACCCGAAGGTAACTGTCCGCGAGATCCAGGAGGCTCTTCAGCTAACAGTTTCCAGTCGAACTGTTCGTCGCCGTCTCGTAGCACAGGGGTTGAACAGCAAAGTTGCTCGGAAGCGCCCATTTATCAGCAAGGCAAACAAAGTCAAACGGCTTAAGTTTGCTAAGGAGCATGCTGATAAGCCCCTAGAGTTCTGGAAAACGGTTCTCTGGACGGACGAATCAAAATTCGAACTGTTCAACCGGAAGCGACGGGTTCGTGTGTGGTGTAGATCGGGTGAGGAGCTTCAGGAGCGCCACATACAAGGCACGGTGAAGCATGGAGGAGGAAATGTGATGGTCTGGGGGTGCTTTTCGTGGGGTGGAGTGGGAAGCCTGGTGAAAATCGACGGGATAATGACGGCAGATTCCTACATCGACATCCTGCGGGAAAATCTGGAAGTTTCGCTGATCCAGACGGGCCTTGAGGAGAAATTCGTATTCCAGCAGGACAACGATCCGAAGCATACTGCCAAGAAGACTAAGTCTTTCTTCCGGTCATGTCGAATTAAACCACTGGAATGGCCTCCACAAAGCCCGGACCTCAACCCCATCGAGAATTTGTGGGCGATTCTCGATGCCAGGGTTGACAAAACTGGTGTTACCAATAAAAATAACTATTTTGAAGCCCTGGAGCGCGCCTGGGAAGAACTAGATCCACAGCACCTGAAGAATCTAGTGGAGAGCATGCCGAAGCGCCTGCAGCTGGTCCTGAAGGCCAAAGGAGGACACATTAACTATTAGGCTGGTATTCTTTTACTTTATTTTATGTTTTCTGGAGTTAAAATGCAGTGGGCACTTTTTTTTGTCACTGTTCTTTTTTACACCCATTTTGATTTTTTTTTCTTCGAGTCAGTCTCTTCTTTTTATCTGGTATTCTATAAGTGAAACTTAAAAAGAATATAAAGAATAAGATATAAAAAATACTACAGTGTATTTACTTTAATTTGAACCAAATAAATGAGAGAAATTCAAAAAATGATGGGGTGGGCACTTTATTTTGCCTATCAGTGTATGTTATGTCTCGAAATCTTGTCCATATAAGATGTTGCTGTACAATATGAAAACAGGAGCAGGAAAAGGGATGACGTTTAGAGGCTGGAATTTTATTTCTGATGCCATTTTGAAATCCAAGATGGCGGTAATTGGTTAAAAAAACGGTCAAATACCCTAAAATATCGATATTTTTGGAAAATGAGGAAGGATATCATTAACAGACATTATGGGCATCCAGATTGGGAATGACGTGTAGAGGCCGGAAATCGATAGCAGATGGCATTTCGGAATTCAAGATGGCGGCCATCGGTTCAACAAAAAAAAACTGTAAAATAA